AGAATGGCCAGACTTCGTCTCACCTGTTTTGGTCATGTTGTCAGAAGGGACTATTCCCTGGAGGAGAGTGTCATGCTTGGTAGGGTGGAGGGTCGACGAAAGACAGGGAGGCCTTTGAGATGGATTGACACGGTGGCTGCGATGATGGGCTCAAGTATAGCAGGGGTCATGGAGCTGGTGCAGGATCGGGCAGTGTTTCGTTCTGCTGTGCATGGGGTCACTATGAGTCGGAAATGACTTGATGGCACCTAAAAACAACAGTAAGAAAGAAAAGAGGACCAAGGGTGGAGTGGGGGAAACCCCTAGTTGAGGAAAGAAAGGGAATGAACAGGTGCCAGAGTTTGAGGGAGACCTGGTGATTCAATGAACATAGACTCTTGGATTTTTTTTTAATCATAAAAATAATATACTTTCATTGTAAATAATTAGGAAACATTAAAGAAAATAATAAAATTTGGCTGTAAGCTTTATTCGTTTTTACCATTTTGTATGGATCATAACAAATTATGGATAACATTGCAAAAAGTGGTAATTCCAGAACGATTAATTATACTCATGCAGATCCAGTGTCAAACAATAGGCAGTTGTTTGAACAGAACAAAGGGGATACTGCATGGTTTAAAAAGGAAAGGTGTGCATCAGGACTGTATCCTTTTACCATGCTTATTCAGTCTACTTGCTGAGCAAATAATCCAAGAACTTGGAGTATATGAGAAAAAATGTAGCATCAGGATGGGAGGAAGACTTTAACAACCTGCATATATGCAGGTAATACAACCTTGCTTGCTGAAAGTGAAGAAGACTTGAAGCTCTTACTGTTGAAGATCAAAGACTACAGCCTTCAATATGATTTACACCTCAACATAAAACAAAAATCTTCACAATTGGACTAATAAGCAACATCATGACAAACGGTGAAAAGATTGAAGTTGTCAAGGATTTCATTTTACTTGGATCCACAGCCAATGCTTATGGAAGCAGCAGCCAAGAAATCAAATGGCATATTACATTGGGCACGTCTACTGCAAAAGACCTCTGTAAGGTGTTTAAAAGCAAAGATTTCAGGTTGAGGACTAAGGTGCACCTGACCCATGCTATGATATTTTCAGTTGCCTCATGTATATGTGAAAGCTGAACAATGAATAAGGAAGACTGAAGAAGGATTGGTGCATTTGAATTTTTGTGGTGTTGATGAAGAATATTGAATATAACACAGACTGCCAGAATAACTAACAAGTACAGCCAGATTGCTTCTTAGAAGCAAGGATTGTGAGACTTCATCTCATGTATTTGGGCATGTTATCAGGAGTGACTGGTCCCTGGAGAAGGACATCATGCTTGGTAAAGTAAAGGGTCAGCAATAAAAAGGAAGATCTTCATGAGATAGATTGACACAGTGACTGCAACAGTGGGCTCAAACAGGAATGGTGGTGAGAATGGCACAGGACTGGGTAGTGTTTAGTTTTGTTGTACATGGGTTCTCTGTAAGTTGGAACCAACTTGAAGGCACCTAACAACAACAGCTACCCTCAAATATGTGTTACTTTTAGTTAATGTTTTATTAAAGGGTGAAGGGAAAAAATGAATTATTTTGCTTTCTGAAGAAAATAATTTATTTTAGGTTGCCGAGGAGCCCAAGTAGAAGAAATATGGAGTTTGGAGCCTGAAAATTTTGAAAAACTAAAGTAAGTATATTTTAGTATATTAATAATAATATCTCTATTTTAGCAAACTTAAAGGATCATGATATTTGTTTATTTTACTTTGATTACTCTAAATTCAACATATTACCTCCTTTAAGTCCTTTTTCAATTGTGTGATATAGGTATTATTATCCACATTTTGTAACCAAAAACCTGAGGCCCATAAGTAAGTAATTTGTAAAGGATTCAAATCTAAGTTTCTATGAGTTTGTATCCACAAAATACCAATTGGTTGATTTGTCACAAAATTCATTTGTAGATCAGTATTGATAGAACATGGAACACATTTTAATATAAAATATGTGAATAATAGGTCAATCTACAAAATATATTTAATAGATAATATATACTAAAAGTAATACAGAAATTGCCTACATATTATTGTATTACTTCTTGGGGAACTTATATTCCAAGGTTCGAAGTGGATGCCAGGAATTACTTTACTTTTCTCCCATCTTTCTGACCAGAATCACCTCTCTGAGCCTCCTCCTCTCATCCACCCCTACCCCTGGCATTATCCCTGTGTCACTAGTTCTTCAAGAGGAGGACTGGTGAAGTTTTCACTGGTGGGAGAGGTCTTAAAATCTTAGTATGGATTCAGTGAATGGGCTTTGAAAAGAAAAAATGTGAACTATATGGAGATGAGTAGTCTTTTTAATAACAAGGAGGGGATGGTTTGCTTCCCCCTACTTTCCCCATCTCCACAGAAAAGGATCTCTTTAGATGGAGTAAGAGACTGATTCTGAGTGATGAGGGAAGACTAATTGGATATACATCATTTGAGTTGTTTCCTAAAAAGATGAGGAAAATTTTTGATAGGTGGAAATGTGAAGTAGTGGTGTAGTTTTTCATAGATGATAGCAGTTCCTTTAGGAAAGGCAGTGACTTCAGTGTATATTAGATGAGAGCATCCGTTCATAATATGGCTTAAGGTTTGCTCATGAATCCAGTGATTATGGGAAGGTGATTCCTTATATTTAATAATATGTATGCTATCAGCTATTTTCTGTAAACATTCTTCATGAACTTTATTCATATATCTTAGATTTTAATCTAGCATTAATAACTTAATAACTTCATAATTTTACTGTTTCTCCCCCTATATTTAAGTGAGGTAACATAATTTAGAAATGAATAATCCACTAAACCTTTTGTTACAGTTCTCTGTTAACAAACACAATTTTAAAGTGTTATTAGCCTTATTTCAGGCAATATTCTAGTGCCTATAAATGCCAATAGTGATGTTTTAAAATTTTCTCATTATTTCATACTTAATTTACTTAATTTGCCATTATATGTGTTAAATGGCTGACTAAAATTTAATATAGTGACAGTGTGTGATAAAAGGGTTTGGTGCCATTAATTTGTATTTTATTTTGTAGGCCAGTTCATGGGTTAATTTTTCTTTTCAAGTGGCAGCCAGGAGAAGAACCAGCAGGCTCTGTGGTTCAGGACTCCAGACTTGACACGATATTTTTTGCCAAGCAGGTATGGTCCCTGGATACTCAGAAAAGTCTCAAAAGCAACTCTTTTTATATATGAAACTGCATTCTGCTTATATGCCTTGAGTGTAGCAGTGCTTACACTTGATTTTAGGACCCTTTTATACTTGTGAAAATAAGTGATTGAGATCCTCAAAGAAGTTGGGTTTATATGGGTTATATCCATTGATATTTGTTATATTATACATTAAAATGGAGGAATTAAAAAAAATATTCACTAATTCTTTTAAAAAGAACAGCAGTAAGCACATTAAATGTTAACACAATATTTTGTTATAGAAAAATAAAAATTTGCAAAAAAAGAGTGGTCACAATATATTGTTTTACAGTTTTGCAAATGTCTGTTTTAATAAGACAGATTCTCATCTGCTTCTTCAGTCAGTCTGTTGTAATTTTTCTTTTTAAATATATGAAAACAATTCAGTCTTACACATGTGTGTAATTGGAAAAGGGAGGAATATTTTAATATCTTTTTCAGTTAAATGTGAATATATATTCTTTGGCACTGTACCACAACTCCAAAAGCATTGCTTTCTTAAAGGTATTGCAGTGTGAAATCTGAACCCATATCAATGACATTTTTGTATTTTGTTATAGTGAAATTGTTTGGTATATTTTGTCCTTTGAATGAATCTTTCACTCATACATGATTTTGTAACCTCATGCATTGGCCATTTAGAAAGTTCACCAACTTAAGTGGATCTTCAGTTGTTTACATGTTTGATTATACACTATTAACAAATCACATGTGTTTGTGTCATCACCTATCTCATCAGAAAACTAAATTGAGACACTTAAGCTTATAGCACACTCAAAGTTTACAAAGTACTGGTTTTCACCTGAAAGTTCAGATTTTAACAATGGAATTCAATACAATCAGATCTTTTACTTGAAGTAACAGATTGATCTCATTTTCAAGATACTATCTGCCAAGTACTCTACTCTGAATAGCCATTTTTGTCTGATACTCATTTTTTTCTAGTAGAGATGGTACTCCAAGAAAAAAGCAGCAAATTTACTTTACAATTCAATCAGAAAAGGGCCTTTGTTTGAGCAACATTCATGTTTTGGTATGCAGCTTTGTTGTTGTTATGTGCCATTGAATCGGACCCAACTCATAGCGACCCCTCCTTGGGTTTCTGAGGCAGTATCACTGTGGAAGTAAATTGCCCCATCTTCCTTCCGAGGAGTGGCTGGTGGGTTTGGACCACCAGCCTTTTGGTTAGCAGTCAAGTGTCTTAGGCACTATGCTACCAGAGCTCTTTATACTTCCCATTTCCTCCCACAAAATACTAAAAAGTTGTATACTCCAAAGGTGAAATTTAATAGAAATAAATTACTCCTTCATCAAAGATATTTTTAAAGTGAAACTGGATTTTACTGTTTTAAGTACATATATATGGCATTAAAACAGTTCAGAGCCATTGCCTAGGTTTGTGCTCAAATGCCATTAGTTTTTTCTGCAGTTGCTTTTACACCGTCAGTGCAAATGTGAAAACAACAGAAAAGGTAAAAGCTAGCTTAGGGTTACTATGGAAACAATTGTGAGCTTACAAAACCTTGAAAAGGTCCTTGGTATTCCTGTGAATCCTTGAATTATACTTTAAAAACTGCTATTCTAATAGATAGAGTTAACAGGAAAATAAAGTTAATTAGCATTATTAGATGATTCCATATATCTGGCCCATTGTTTGGAAAACCTATAAAAGAAAATGACAAAAGAGATTTGATTCATATTAAAAACCCAAATTAAATATGATTACATTTTTGAAAATGATCCTTATTTCTGAGACTCAAAATATTGCTTAGGATGATCTGGTTAACTTTTGGACAGGTGGAAAAAATGAAATTGCTTCTTATTACTGCCCTTTTAGATTAAGCCTTTGCTATTTTAGTTAGTAACTTATCTTTATTTTATAGTTTCTTCCTGTCTTTTCAATCCATCTTCCCTTAACTTTTTTGAATTAAGTGTTCTTAGAGAAATCAGAAATTTCTCATTTTTACTTTAGGACTTTGGAAAATAAGGTTTTATTATTGGTATCTTTTTTTTTCTTGATAGAATTTATACTTTAGAAATATATAAATAGTGATAAAAATAAGTATCTTTACAATCCCACCCCATGTCTAATTAACCACTTCGATTCATTCATTAAGCAGTAAGTACTTTTTGAGCACCTACTTTTTGCTAGGCAATGTTTTAGGTACTACGGATGTAACAGTAAACAAAAAAGACATGACTCTTCTTATTAATAACAAATATAGTGATAGTAATAATATAATAGTAGCCAACATTACCATGCCTGTTGTGTGTCAAATACTGTTTTAGATGTATTTTTTTATTTAATGCTTAGAACAACCAGGTGAGGTTGTTATCCTCATTTCACAGATGAAGAAATTAGGCCTACAAAAATTAACTTATTTGCCTGAGGTTACACAGCTAATAATTTGGTGGATTCAGAAGTTAAAGTGAGGTCTAAAGCCCAGGTTTGTGATTGAACATGCTATGATACCTCCCCCATTTTTTATTCATATGCTAACATACTCTTATTATACTTTTTTTTTTTTTTAACTAAAATTGGGTTATTCTGCAAAATATTTTATATCTTGTTTAACTTTATTAAAAAATTAAATATAAAAGTTTGACATTGCTCCATTTCAGTACACAATAACAATATCAGCTAACATTATTGAAGGTTTACTAGGTGCTTTTATATGTATTATTTTTTATCATTAATTTATTTGTAGTAAATATCCTCACAACAACTCCATGAGGTTTTATAGCATCCTTCTTGTTTCACAGATGTGGAAGCTGAGTCCCAGAGAAGTTAAACAACTTGCTCAAGTTAGTGCAGCTAGTCACTGGCAAAGCTGACTGTAAACCTATAGTGCAGGCCCTGTGGCTCTGAAATTTACACTCTTAATTATTTATCACCACACTGCCTCTTTTAAAAGTTTTCTTGGTATAGACAGATGTTCCATAATTTGTTTAATCTGTTAATGGTCAAGACTTGAGTTTCTAATTTTCCTCTAACACAAATAATCATTTATATATTATAATATTTTTGGACTTATGTGTCATTCTAGTATAATAATTATGATGTTAAAACTGCAGTTGTTTGTGATTCATCTGTGTGGATAGGAGACAAAAAAATAAGGGACAGACAGTTTTAAAAGTCCTTCAGGTGTTTTTTTGCTTTTCTAAGAAAGTTTTTGTTATTTTTCAATGTCTATAAGATTATATTCTCGATATACAGAATTTAAACATTACAGAGATATTTCATGTAGAAATAGAACCTTATAGTTCCTACTCCATCATTGAAAATGTTTCCAAGATTTCCCATTTGTGTGTGTGTGTATGTATTTATATATTATATAAATATATTTAATATTTAAATTCTATAAATATATTCATATAGGAGCTCTGGTAGCGTAGTGCCTAAGGTACTTGACTGCTAACCAGAAGGCTGGCGGTTCAGACCCACTAGCCACTCCTTGGAAGGGAGGTTGGGCAGTCTACTTCCATAGTGATACTGCCTCGGAAACCCAAGTAGGGGTTGCTATGAGTTGGGTCCAACTCGATGGCACATAACAACGACATATATATGAAAAAATACACACCTTCAGATAATTGTTTCTTTAATTTTATTTCTTCTATATAGAACTGTTAACCCAAGAGTGAGGGATTTTATTTTTATGTATAGTTTCTGTTACATGGTAGATATCCAAGAGCTGTAGATGAATATTGATCTCTAAGAATATTATAATTAAAGAACACTGGAATTCACGAATGATGTTTTTGATTTATAGTGGCCTAGATACTTTATTTATTTTTTTAAATTGTGATTTGGATGAAAATTTACAGAGCAAATTCACTTTCCATACAGCAGGTCACACACACTTTGTCTCATGACATTGACCACAATTCACCACAATGCAGCAGCTCCCTTCCCACTTCCTCCCAATAGTCACCTCTTCCCTCTGTCCATCCCTCCATGCACCCCTGTACCCTGGGCTGTCTCCCTGTGCATAAACAGCTGCTATTTTCCCATGATTGTTTTCTCCAAGGAGTGTATCTACTTCAGGTAAATGTTCAACTTACATGGCTGTCTTTTGTTTGGCTGGAAGCCACAGGTGTGGGTTCAATTCCAGACCTGAAGGGCAGCTAAGGGCCTTAGTCTCAGTGGTTCCACCAGGCTCTATCAGACCAGGAAACCTGGTCCCCCACCTTTTTTTCTTTCCAATGGATTTTGATTTTTGTTCCACATTGTTCTCATACTCTATTTAGTATCTCCTACATAGTTCTCCCTCCAAGTGGTAGCTGGGCACCATCTAGTTCTTCTGGTCTCATAGTCGTATAGGCTGCAGATTGCATGGTGTACCAGTCACTTGGACTAATTGTTTCCATGAATCTTTGGTTTTCTTCATTCTTCTTTGCTCTGGATGAGGAGAGACCCATCGTTGCATCTAGATGGCTGCCTGCAAGCTCTTAAGATCCCAGTCGCTGCTCATCAAAGTAGGAGGTGGAACAGTGTTTTGTGTAGTATGTTATGCCAGTTGAGCTTGATGTCCCCTGTGACTATGGTCCTGAGCCCACAAGTTCAACTACTCAGTTCCTCTGTGTAGCTGGCTGTGACCAAGAAGTGACTACAACCTTGTCCCTTGTCAGCTCTACTATACACCTGGGAATTCACATGATACAGATACACTTATAGGGTGATTGCCTGCCAACCCTATACTTGGTGTTGAGTACTCTCCCTGCTTCATAGACATACCTAATAGTTCAGCCTGTCCACCCATCTATACACCCGTATACCCTTGTTTGCCTTCACTGACAATGCAGTACTGTATGTGCAAAAGGGTTCATCTTTGTTGTCAGTACCTCCTATGTACCTCTATGTCTTCCTCTTCCTCAATGCCACCATGTTGATTACTCACACTTGGTACATTGACCTTCTCTTCACCCAAATCGACACTTATCTCTACCTA